TCGGTGAGCAGCCCTGGGCGCCGGCCCACCCGCATGAGCGCCCACAGCCACAGCCCGCCGAGGCCTGGGGAGGGGAGCGGCTACTAGTTAGGCTAACAACTAGAGCTGGCGGCCCTCCGAGGCCTGGTTAGGGCAGCAGCAACTAGTTAGGTTAACAACTAGTGCTGGCGGCCCGACCAGACTCAGACCCTCCGGGACTCACAGCAGAAAGACCCCCAAACAGGGTCTCGCAACAGCCAGACACGTCCCACCACACCCACTGCTCTCCCCACCCCCCAGCCTTTGTCCTCGCCCCCCGCTTCCGGCCCCCATGAAAGGAAACAGTTCTTTAAAAAAGCACTTGTTTGAACTTGCTGAAAAGGAGGCTGGGTGTGAGGGACTCCCTGGGAATGCTAACAGCCTGCGCTCGGACCTGGTGGTGGTGATGTGGTGCGGAGGTAGCAATGGCTACTCCAGCCAGATGCCCCCGGTGGGCACCGGGGAGGGATCCCAGGGGCAGCGTGGCCGGATGTGGGCGACTGGCAAGTGGGACATGAAGGGAGGGTCCATTAGGCAGTCCCTGCCTTTGTACATGTTATTCAAGTAGTTTCTTCCCTTTTGTGTAAACTTGGGGAACTACTTTTTTTAAACGTGGCGTCTCCTGACCGGTGAAAGGGAGTGGAAGGGAGGTTGTCAGGAGCACAGGTGACAGCAGATGGCGTCCAGATAAACTTGATGTTCAGAGGCCCTTTTCTTTCTGCTCAGCCGCGATCGCAGGGCTGAGCCACGGAGCCACTGCACTGCTGCCTACAGCGTCAGGACAGCTCTGGACTCAAAGCAGGGCAGCGCACAAGGGCGTTTGTTTATCATGAGAAGGTGAAGTAACACCGCAGGTGTGGCATCCCGACGTTATGAGAGCTTTTTTCAAAGCAGGGCTGCTTTGTTTACAGCTGACCCCAACAGGTCACACACACTGTACCACTGCGGGCAGAGCACCAGGAATGGGGCGCTGCGTGTGGAGGGCAGGCCGGGGACAGTCACCCGATGAAGTGGAAGCTCTTTAAGGGTCTTTCGTGAAGCAGCAGGGTCAATAGTAAGCCATCTGTCGCACGAATGATCTCTCAAACCCCTGGTAGGTGGTGACACCAGCAGGCATAGGGCCTAGAGCAGGGGTTGGCAAGCTTTCTCTGCAAAGGGCCAAGGAATCGTTATTTTTGGCTTTGTGGGCCACAGAGTTTGTTACAGTTACTCAGCTCTGGCACGATAGCGTCAAAGCCGCCTTAGACAACATATGAAATGGGTTGTGCTGCTGAGCTTTAGTTACAAAAACAGGCTGCAGACAGGATTGGGCCTATGGGCTGCCCTTTGCCAAGAGATAAGCAGGAAATACCTTCCTGTCTAGCGAAGCCCTATCTACCCAGGTGAGAGTTCTGTGGTACGAGGTTTGTTCAGTCTAAAGCAAGCATGTCAAACTCGTGGCTGACGGGCCGCATGCTTCGTTTATTTAAATAAGCGAGTTTGACATGCTTGTTCTAAATGCTGGGTAGACTTAGAATAACACAAAGTCCCTTTAAGATTTGGGAGAGCAAGACTAACCTGGGGGCTCCTTACTCCTACTTTTAAGATAAGGGAGAGCAAGACTTCAGCAGGGTCAGCGGTGTACTTACAATTCAGAGAACGCAGGGTGCTCAGAATGAATTGCCAAACATATCAAAATAGAGCTAAGCAGAAGCAATGAGGAAGTTAGGCCACAGCACAGAAACACCTAGTATTGATTGAGCTACAAACCGTAGTTTGATTATGGCCCATAAGGTAGAAGCAAGCCTCCCCGAGCTTTTCATTTCTCATACATGCAGCGATATTAGGAGGTATCATTGCTGTAGAAGGGAGGGCCCAGCACCAAGAACAGTCAGAGAGAAAGAGAGAGAAAGAGAAAGAGAAAAAGTTGAACATTTAGATTCCCTGTAACAAAGAGGAAAGAAAAAAAAATCTGCATTTGTTAACATAGGGCAAAGAGAGTTTATTTGTCCAGTCAGACAGTCTAAGGCAACACTCAAATAAGGCTGCAGAAACCGCAATCAGAACAGTGACGTTTTAGACAGCCATAGAAGGTGACTCGGGACCCAGACAATAGATGCATCCTTTTTTCTTTCTTTCTTTCTTTTTTCAAACAACTGGGACAATGACAGGCTGGCATAGGAGAGCATTTAACAATAAACAACAAAAGAACAAAGTGCCCTCCCTCCCCCCTGAAGACCACGGCTGTTAAATTAAGTACAAAAAACTCATTACAAAAATAGCCTCACAGAGAAGCAGGTTCCAATCAAGTCAGAAAAATATTGGAACTTAACATATTATAACCCATTTGTGACTCTAATCACTAGAATTAGAGATTCAGTCCAAATGACACATGGAGACATTACAGCAGCACAACCCTGGCATGTTCAACCCTTCTTGGAAAACCGAGCATTTAAATGATCTTTATTTTTAGCCCAAAGAACATTTATTAGTGTTGGATTTTCATCCTCAGTGCAACAGACACAGGTTTGGAGAGGGTACAGAGGTTACTGACGGTGACTCTGAAATGAAATATCACATCCAACAGAAGCATAGGGAAGACAGAAAAGGGAGACAGCGTTACACAGTTTCAGGGCATCCATATACCTATCAGGGTTCCAAACCCAGCACAGCTGTAACATCTCAGTGTTGTTAGGCTACCTTCCCTGTGTGTGGTTGGCCATGTCTGAGGGGGCCTCATCTGATATGCCACCCCCACTTTGGGCCCCTCATATTTTGCACCTGGATGTCCCAACACTTGGGAAGGCTACCCTTCAAAGGAGTTAGCCTTGTCCTTGAGCTGTATCTGAATTAAAGATCTCTTCAAGTCCAAAATGCAGCTGGGAATTGTGCAGAGTGACTTTCAGAAAAGAGGGTGATAACAGATAAAATCCCTAATAAAGGGGACTGACGCATATGGGGACCATTCAATCACAGTTTCTATAGAAACTTTTGTAGACCTTTGGTTGGGAAGAAAAGCCCTACATCTAGGGCATAGCTTTTTTTTTAAATTTTAAACAAGAATCTCAAATAAATAGGACATAATTATTATAATATACAATATTTTGCCATGAGGACACTAAGCTATTTAAAGATCCTTGCTGTTCAGTCAAATCATGTCTATAGATATGACAAAAGAACTTTATGCATAATCTGGCTTTCCCCATAGGAAAGGTATAGTCACGTGTTTCCCTCATGATGAGCACTGGGAATCTATTCCATCCTTTATCATTTAAAAACATATGGCTAACATAGCAACAGTTTTGTTTTCTACGAGTGGGCTCAGGTAGTCTCATTTGGGGCAGCAACTGGAGGGGGGACGCAGAAGTGTTGTATACAGAGCATAAAGGAGGTGAGCAAGGCTCCCAAATCATCTCAGAATTTCACGTCTCATAAATAAGACATCAAGTAACCACAAAAGAAAAAAATAAAAAGAATTGTGCCTCAACATATCACTCAGGAAACCTGCTTTCCTGCTTCTTAAAAGGAGTAGAGTCATTTTGTGCTAACAATTGGATCTGAGAAACAGTTTGGCACAGTTCAAACAATCATTCCTTCGCTCTTGGTCGGACTAGACAAAATGTTTTCTCTGATTATCAGAAAGGGGGCTATTAAGATCTTGTCTTAGGCCATGCCCCAGTCCATGGAAGGCAAGCAAAAGGATGAAATGTGTAGAGGTTTCAGAACAAGCGAGGCAAATAATCACATGGTGCGGAAGGCTGGTAAGACACTGGTGAAGAGGGGAAACAAAAAGACTTTCCTGCTGCAGTTCTGGAGACAAAGTCATGGAGTCATGCCAGGGAAGGAGGGGAGGTTTTCATAGTTTGACCCACCATATTCTGGTACCGAGCCGTCGCCCCGCTTCAGAGACAGACGCACTCTGCGGCCTCCGTTCTTAATCAGTTCTATAGCCCGAGAATGCTTCATGTTTTTGGTGGTTTCACCATTGATCTCCAAAATTTCATCACCGATCTGTCCAAAGCAAGAGAGAACAAAGTGAGAAGACCACACAAGGGTTTCACTGGCTATTGAGGTGCTTTATAGTTGAAAGTCTTTCATTTATTGATTTCCCAAATATTTATTGTTTGCCAGAAAATATTCTATTGCTCAGGATGCAGCAGTGAAGACAACAAAAACTCCACAAAAATTCCTCCCCGATGGAGATGACATTCTAATGGGGGAAATACAATTAACACGAAAATTAGAAAAGTACATCTATGTTAGATAGTATCTGAGAACCAGTTTGGCACATTTCAAAAAATCATTCCTTCGCTCTTTGGTCGGACTAGACCAAATGTTTTCTCTGATTATCAGAAAGGGGGCTATAAGTGCAAAAGAAAAATTAATAAAGCTATCAAGGGGAATGTTAATTATTGAAGGAAGGAGGATGTGGTAAGCTGCTTCCAGGATGGCCCCCAATGAGCCCCACCTTCTTGTATTCACATCCTATGTAATCTCCTGCCCTTTGAATGTGGGTTGAAATTGGTGACTTGCTTCTAACAAACAGTATATGGCAAATGCGATGAGAGGTCAGTTCAGACATAAGGTTACAAAATGAATCTGGCTTCTGTCTCACTTGCCCTCTTCTGTTCTCTCACTTTCTCACTCGGAGGCATGCTATGAGCTGCCCTGCGCAGTCCATGCTAAGGACACATGGGAGCGCTCAGGCCAGACAGCCCAACAGGCGCTGTATTTTGCCAATGACTCTGAGTGAAGCAAACCCTTCCCCACCTGAGCCTTCCATGCAACAGCAACCCAATCCGGTTGATAACTGACTGCAGCATTTACTGTGTATCAGCTGCTCCTCCAGACACTAGAGCAAAGGAGTAACCAAGACCAACTAGATCCTTGCGCATGAAACTTGTAGTTCCAGAAGGCAGAAGAGCAGCACTGGCTTTGGACCTATCACTATTAGCTACGTGACCTTGCTCAAGTCCTTTTAACTGTGAAAGGAGATAATACCATGCCTACCAAGCTGAGGGTGTCAGATCGGACAAATGGGTTGTGATCTATACAGCATTATACAAAATTTCAGGACAATGGTATTTCATTTAATCAGAAACTCTTTTTAAGTGAGTAAAGACATGGAAAAGCATATCCAATGTGTCTGGAGCTTAAACAAAAAGTATATGTACACTATAAACTTGCATAGGCACACATTGTGCATATATATGCATAAAGGAAGCATATATAAGAAACTGATAAACAGTTTGATCCTGGAAACTGTATTTTTACTATGTACCATTTTTCACTGTTTAATTTTTTAAAACAAGCTACATCATCTACTTCTCAATGTGGGGGAAACTCGTTAAAAAATTCAACCTGAGGAAACGTAAAAATCAAGATTGTGTCTTAAGTACAAGTATTAAATTCCCTACCTTTAGTCACTTTTTTCCTTTTTCTGCTCAGGCCCAATTTTATTCACTTTTTTCTTATACTGACCTGACTTCTGATTTTTTAAAAATTCACTGCCAATTATTTCCTATATGTGTGTCTCAATCTATGTGACTTATCTATAATGTGATGATTTTTCTTTAGTCATCTAATCTGCCCAGGAGAGCAATGCATTTATATACAATAGCAGATACTAACTATCTAAACAGAGCAGAGTGGATCCTTGCATTTGTGTATTTAAATTTTGTAGCTCTGACTACTACAGAGTGACCCCGAATAGCCATGCCATGGAGCAGTGGTGCCTTTGCTGAGGCAGAGTCAGCAGGATCCTGAGGCTAAGGTGAGATGGTGGGTGACCAGCCAGAGATGGAATGGAGCCCACCACTCAAAGCCTGCAAAACCGCAGGCCTTCCTGCTCTCTAAGCATCCTGGTCCAGCCAGGAATTCCTGCGAAATGATGTGTGTGCCTCATGAGACTAAGTATAACAACGATGGAAATGGGATTCAGAAATATCTCCTTTAATAATTTTGTAAGTAATTTTAATCCATTCAACCTCAAAGAGTAGAAGGGGTTCACCTAACTTCAGCAGCTCCGGCTAACTATGTTTCAGGGAGAGATTTACGCTCGGATAGGAGTCATGCATCTCAAGTATCCTGAAAGCTGTAGAAAATGTAGTTCTCATGAAGAAGGTTCTAGCCATATAATGTCAAAAAGTCACTGCCGATGACGTATTTACATCTACTCCGGATTCCTCTTCCAACTTACCCTCATCTTTCCACACCTTTCGGCAGGACCATCCTCTGCCAAGCGCAGAACATAGAGGTCCATGTTATACTCTCGGCCCCCTCGAAGACTAAAGCCAAAGCCCTTGGCTCCTCTTTCCAGGTCCACAGTGTAAAAATCCTGCTCCTAGTTCAAGACATGAAATGGAATCATTCCGGGAGAACTTACACCCGCCCCTTTCTCTCCATCTCTTCCCAAACATCCTCTATTATGCTGATTTGACCAAAAGGCACCATCACTACCCCCTCTTGCAGATTTTCAATTGTTTATTAATATCCATTAACCTGAGAAGTTTGAGGATCCAGAATTTGAAAACATTCATGAGTGTGCCTGTAGACTGCACACCAACATGTATATATTAAAATTTAACCAGTGAAGCGCAATTTGCCATTTATGGCAGGAAAATTCATTACATGATACCCTGCACATTGTTGGAAGTTCAACCTCCCCGCCCAATACCCCCAAAATGCCAGTGTCCACTGTTAGGATATCAAAAGGCTCAGAAGGCCAGTCGAAAAGGAACCTGTTTAACTTTGCAACAGACAATGTTTCCCAAATTGGCTTCACCTGCCATTATTTGTGCCCCCTCCGTTACCCTGTATGGTTCAGGTATTTAGGTCTGTGGGTCCCCCCTGAAATTCACGAATCTGAGAAACACCTTAAGAAAAAGATATTTTCTTGGCATAAATGCAGTTATGAACACCATGAGTAGCTATCAGCTGTTTTGCTCTTGCTCTTCTATTGGTCACCAATTGCAGCTTTTTATTTTGTTTGTTCCTCCCCTGTCCTCCCCCTCCCCTGGAAAAGGATATCTGGGAATATTTTTCAAAGGTAGTAAAATAAAATGTCATTTCCTAGACAACCAAATGTGAGCACGTATTCAGTACATCCCCTCACAAAAGGTTATTTATTTTAATTGAGGTACCTTGTAAAATATCTCATAAAAACAGCTTCAGAAAGCCAGAAGGAAACGTGGAAAGCAAAGCAAACAGAGAAACGGCCTCACCTGTGTTGCCTGGGGTGCTTTGAACTCAAACTGAGATTCCGGCTTTGGTTTGGTGGTGTTCCTGCCAAAGTGAGAGAAATAAATATAAAGACAACCTGTGGGGAAACTGAGAAAGAACCCAGGAGGAGTGTCGTCATGCCAGGAGCTACTTATTGCCTTTAAACTAACAAAGCCGGGTCTGACCTGGTCTCCTGGGCCCCCTGCTGAGAAGGGGTGTGTGTGGTGGTGATGGTGGCGATCTTCTCCGCGTTGGTCAGCAAAGTGGCATTCGAAGACTCTGCAGGATGAGACAGCATTACGAAATGAGGACCCTGGAGAAGACACCCCCATACTGGGGGGGTGCCGAAGCCCTGTATCTGAGGGACAGGTGGGCTTCTCTGTAACCATTTCAAGCAGCTCTGACTTGAATTTCTAAACAATTAAGAGTTTGAAGAATCATTTAAAGATACTCTATGATGTGAGCCATGTATACCCCGTTACCCTTCTCCCAACAAGACATCCCCACAAATAAAAAGTTTGTCCAAGAAAATACTACCCTAAAATTGCAGCCAAGGCAGGTGCCTCTCATTCTGCCCGCCACTTAAAAGTGACAGTCCCATCAAAACACTATCCCCAGAATTATTTCCCAGAATTGGACAGACTCATTAGATACATCTTTCTTAACATTTCCTGCAATGTATTAGCAATATTTAGTGACTATGTTTAATTTCCTCATGTGAATATTAAAATTAGAAGTGTGCTAACATCTTGTTAAACGCACACACCATCTACCTTCTTGTCCACTGCTTTTAATGAAGTGCAACTGAAAATGTGGAGTTCTTGACAGATCTCATCTGGTATCACTTATGAGAAATTAATTTAAAAACTTGCATTTGTTAGAGCTGGAGCTTGTAAATACAAGCTGTATAAATCATGAAGCCACCCTAACGTAATAACTATGATTATATTCCTATGTAAATTGATTTTCTTCTTCACTAACCACATACCTAAGCAACTTCATTAGTCTCTAAAGGAGATGCAGATATTGAAGACATGAGCATGCCTATACGCTACACACCAACACACACACACAGTCAAATTTAATCATTCATATAGTAATGCTTATGTATTCTTTTATGAATTGTTTCTCCATTATGATCAAGGCAGATAGCAAGTGACTATGAGCAAGCTGTACTTTAAATATTTATTTTTAGGTTGACTGTTTGTAACATGGCATAAATTTTCTATTTTAGAAAATGCTAACTATGGTGGTTAGAGTCTAAGATTTGCCTATAAATGCCTGTTTAATTCACAGTGTGATAGGAAGTCTAGAATCAGAGGCACTTCAATGTTTGTCAGATACATGTATCTCCCCATCATGTCTAACAAAGTTCCTATGAGAAAATATGTCAGGTCTCACCAACTGGGATATCAGGACTGCATTTCTTTTCACTGCAGTCACAGGTGAGAAGACATCCCTCAAATCCCAAACACTTGTGGCCTGCCATTATGTGTTCCTGCTGTTACACATAGTTGTTAAAAGCAAGGGCTTGAGATTTAAACCCAGGTTCAAATCTTCCTTTCCCCACTCATTAGCCGTGTGACTGATTTTCCTCATCTGCCAGAAGGGGATGATGCTAGTAATTCCCTTCTCTTGGATCAAAGTAGATGAAACGTTTAGTACAGTACCTGCCCTACAGTAAGCACTCAGTACACATTTACTGAAGTTATGGCCCTTGCCATGCTTCTCCTTTTTGTTTATTGCTGTGGAACTTGTATAAATTATTTAAATTCTTAGCAAAATGAGAAAGTTGAAATAAGCTGTGACTAGTTTGTATTCCAGCCATAGAGCCCACAATTCTTAGAGCCCACAATTATTACTTCTTACAAGATTAATAAGAAATGTAATTTGCCTTGGCCAGTGGCTCAGCTGGTTGGAGAACCATCCCATGTACCAAAAGGTTGTGGGTTCAATTCCCAGTCAGGGCACATACCTAATTGGCAGGTTCAACCCTGGTCTGGGTGCATACAGGAGACAAGTGATTGATGTTTCTCTTTCTCTCTCTCTGTCTCTGTCTCTCTCCCCCCTCTAAAAAAATTAATAAAAAAGCAAATACTTGGGTGAGGAGAAAAGGAAAATGTAACTAGATCAAATGAACTGAAATGTGTATCTTATTCACGGGTTAGGACAATGTTTCTCACAATCTATTTCGCCAAATATTTCTACAGATTCTGAGGGAAAAGGAACACGTGGTCAGTTAAGAGTGAGAAATAATAGGTGACAGAGAGAAATGTTTCTGCATGTCTGCATTTTCTTTTCCCGTGGACTCCTCAGAGCGCCCCCCCCCCCAGAGCCTTTTTAAAGAAATCCTCACCTGAGAACATGTTTAGAGAGAGGAAGAGAGAGAGAGCCTTTAATTATGTCAGCTGCCTTGCAGCCCTCTGAGTTGGGGAGGTGGGGCTTCTCAAGTTATTGGGAGGCAGCTTAGCATAATGGCAGCCAGGTCAGATTCTAGAGTCAGACTATCTGGCTTTGTATCCCAACTCTGCAATTTACTGCCCGGGCTTAAGCAAAGTTAAACTTTATGCCTCAGCTTCCTCCACTGCACATGTGGGGTAACAGTTGTGTCTTAGGGAACTGGTGCAAAGATTATCTGAAAGAAAAGTGTGATAGTGCCTGGAACATGAAAACTGCCCCCAAAATGATGAGCATATTTTTTATGGTAGCATGTGTTCCTTACTATTAAAAGCATATCTTTATGACTGCGGTTACGTGGTACAGCCAAGGTGATAAGGGTAAGATCTTTCATCAAGCCCGCTACTGTGTGAGCACAGAGCACTAGGGCCGCAGCCTCTCATTACGACTCACCAGGAGTCTCCAAGCACGTGTACCGGTCCTTTTAAAAAACCTGATATTACTCATTGTAATTAACTTTATGGAGACTCTCTGGGAAATCAGAAGATTGTTTGGGCCCTGGGGAAATCATAATCAGGAAACCAATATGGATGTTTCCTTGTAATTAAAGTGAATATACCAACGAATTGTGAGGCCTCTCAGGTGCATGTGTGGCCTCAGTGACTAGTCTCCCAGGCAGATCACATCCCATCTCACACCATTTTTATATTTCTGTGCTTTCGTGTTTGCTGAGATACAACAGATGATTACCCAATACGCATATAAACAACTATTTTATTAATTTTCTTCCTAACCTTCACCTGCTATTTTCACCTACTTATATGCAAATCTGGGGTTGAAGCTAAACTTTAAGCAATTTAAAAATTAACATTTAATATGCAAATAGCTATTTCAACTTCCTAAATTGTCTTGTTTTTATTAACCTATAAACCACCACTATTTCCTAATCATTTACAATGAGTCAAGAACTGTTCTAAGTGCATTAAATTCATTTAATTCTTACAGCTCAATGAAACAGGTGCCATTAGTACCCCCATTTACAGATGGAGACATGGGGGCTTAGAAAAGACAGGTAATATGTCCAAGGTCATCAGAGAGCATTGGAGGCCCTGGCAGCTTCAAGTCTTCAGTTAGGATTAACGAAGACGTGAAGTGCTGAGATTCTCTCTAGCTTTTTAAAATACAGCGGTGAAGCCCACTTTCATAAATTTATAGCTCTAGCCCAAAGCAAAATTTGCCCGGTAATAGCAAAACTATTAAACCCAGGGCTCTGATATAAGAGCAGGTTCCAGCAGCAGTACTACGAAGGGGTGGCAATGTATTTGGCTTTTAAAACTCCAAGGCAGACAGCCAGACTGGCTGTTTTTATGATACATTCCAGAAAGTACCCCACAGCCTTCATTAAACCGTGTTTACACGCACTGCAGCTCCCTCAGAGCAATGGAAATGGCTATCGCCATTCTTCCCATGGCAGTCGTGCACCAAGAAAGCACATGGGAGCCCTGGCGGTGCTGTCGGGGCGCTGTGCTCAGCCAGGCCCTGACTCCTGACAGGCTGTCTCTCTGGGGCTTCAGCAGAGCTCCGCCACCAGATTCCAATTCTAACCTGCTCCCCGGCACTTCCTCAGCCGCCCTGCCGGAGTCCACATTACAAAGCCACACAAACCAACAAAGGATGCATTCCCTCCTTTCTTAAGCACTGAATGCATAAATAGTGGAAGAAGGCCTTTGAAAACGTGAGTCCCAGCAATAATTGAAAAGCTTTGGGAGATTTTTAAAATGTGTATGATTGGAAGCTGTTCCTTTTGCCTGAGTCTATGTTAGCATCATATCCATAGAGCCTTCTATTAAGATAAACTTACACTAGTCTGTGTCTTTTCCAAGGAGACAGCAATACCTGTGTCCAAGCCCTGCCTCCTATGAAACAAATACTCTGAGACAAGGTAATCATTACTGTGGAGAAGGCTGGCAGAAAGAGGGGGGGGGGGGGGGGAAGGGGAAGGAAGAAAGAGAGGAGGAGGAGGAGGAAGGAGAATTGGGAGAAGCTGCAGAGTGAGGAAATTTATGATCATATATTTTTAAGCTCATAAATATTCTGATTATCTTGAACTGGATTCAGTTTGATGGGTCCATGTTAGCCTGGCGCAGTCAGGGTATCCAGACTTCACAGGGTAACCCTATACGACATAAGTGGTAGGAAGCAGGTGTGGTTGACTTGTCAGATTGCAAGTTCAGATTCAGTATGTTCAGCTATTCTCTGGGCCTTTCTGTGATGTCACTGTGTATTTCCTGTCCCTTACCCTTATCTCATAGGAGAAAATGTTCTGCCCTGCCCTGGTCCCAGAGGAAGTAAAAGTAGAGATGGTGAGAACTCCCCTGATCTAGGTCTGCCCAACATCATCCGTGAAGGCAGGCCTTCTAACAACAGTGTCACAGAACTGTTATTGGAGGGGGCTGGCAGAGAGAGAAGAGAAGAGGAGAGGAGAGGGGAGCGGAGGGGA